CTTAAATTGTGGAGTCATATTAAATATTAAATTTTCTTAAATTGTAAAAGACCAATAGGAAATCTTTTGGAACAAATGTGTGAAGCAATTATATAAAATTTTTGGAGCACCATATTGCAAAGTACCCCTCCCCTAAAGGCATTGTCCCTGCAAATATCACCAGAGTGGTAATAAAATGAAGTAAGCTCCATATGTTTCTAATAACAAGGTCACAACATAATTCAATGGTCCAAGTGGTCAAAGTACATTGGTAAAACTTACTATTTTTCACTTTCTCCAAATGCTAGACAATATCTTTCTTCTAAAAACAAATTCTTCACCTGATGAACTGCCTCAAGAGTAAAGACTTGACTGTTTTCATTCAATAGTAAGCTGTATAAATCAATGACCTAGAGGTTCAAGTATACAGTAACACTGATTGTAATTATGGTGTCTGTCCTTAAAAACCCACGGTACATTTTTCATCTTTTCAAATCACAGTACTTCAACTGTTTCATAAGAGAGAACAAATGCAAGACATTTATGACAAAAGGCAACAAGTTGTGGAAACCAGAAAAGCAACACAAGAGTATCTGGATGCCTCCCTTGTTCAACCAATTGGACTAGATTATCAGTTTCAAGTAATTAAAAGAAATGAAAACAGCATAAGAAAATGGAACGAAGATTTCAATGAACGATTTCTGGTGTTATGAAACCTTCATGGGGTACACCCACATTAGAGAGTCTTCAAGATGGGCTCAATTTGGAAAGGGTACAAATACAAATATGTACAGTGCAAATACATACAAAATAATATAAAATACAAGGTTTTGTACTCTACAAATTTGTATTTGTACTCCTTCCAAACTGAGCCATAGTAACAAAATCTAGAATTGGTAGCAAGGACAATCTTATGCTTCCTCACATATTCAGTTGAGAAAAACCATGTAAATGTAGCTACTAACTTGCTACTATTAAAGGCTCATGATCTGGAGCAAATCAGAAGCACCTATCCAGTTTTTCATATGATACAGAAGAAAAAAAGAAAAAGAAAAATGGAATCCAACTAACTGGTGACTTATAAAATTTAATATCTCATTATCAAATAAAAGATCCCAAAAAAATTCTTTAAAAAAACCACAACAGTGATAAAAGTGGGAATTCAGTTAACATGATGAAAATAAAAACGTGTTGTTTCCTCGGTGGTGTTTTTTTTAGAAAAAGGTAATTATGGTTATACTGAAAAATGGAAAGATGTACGTGACACAAAAAAGCCTGCCACCCCAATGACCCAATATATATAATGTCACTATACAATGGCTCCCTTTGACCCCCCGACTTGGCTAAGCCATCAGCGAACATGCTTAACACGCTTGGGATCCACCTAAAAATGGTATGCAAAAGAGCAGCAGTGTCCCTGGCTTCCAACAGGTACCAGGCCAGTCTCCAAGGCCTCTGCCTCTCTGTTTCATCGTCCACTTGATGGTGTTGGATGAGTCACCTTCAATGGTGAGGGAGTACAGGCCTAACTGTCTAGCAAGTCTCAACCCTGTTAGAACAGCCAATCCTCAGCCTTTGTTGAGCCAGCTACACCTATGGACCCACTGAAAGCCCAATAAATACTCCCATCCTCCATTGTTTTTTTTTTTTGTAAGTAACACTCCCATCCCTGTTAAAGAAGACACCCCAAATTCCTGCATCTCCAGGGTTATCTAATGAGTTTCTGTCAAACTTGAGGCTGAATTCCTTCTCCATCTGCTGTCTGATAGGCCAGTTAGGGACTTGGCTGGTTGAAGAGAACTGTAAAAATCCTCCAAGAGGTTCCTATTGAGATCACCAATAGAAATGTCAGTAAAAGCGAAGCCAAGATTTTGCAAAGGTTAAGAATGCAAGATTCCAAGTCATGTGGGGGCAGTAGRCGTAGTTCAGAACGTAAGAGGCGTAAGCCTCCCAAGCACAAGGAGGAGACATAATCCTCCTTAAGAGGAAGAGGATGAGGAGGAAGAAGAACAGGGGGGAGGAGAAAGAAGAAGACGAAGGAGGATCTCATCTTGTTTTTATTTTTCTTTTCTTATGAAAGATGTTTTGTATTAAGAAGAATGAAAATGCACAACACTAGCTGAATACGTTTTGGGGGCACCTCTAGGCATATTCCACCCACRCCTTTTAAGACATTGAATAATACTAACCAATAAATCATACAAGAAATTGTTAAGATCTCTTGTTCTCTTAGTAACTCTTTGAGAGAGTGAAGAACATAAGCAGCATTGATAACAAATGTAATTAAGTAAGCTGCAGTCGGCCCATGCAAGAGCCCCAAATTTTTTATAGAAAAACCTGACTGACCATATTTAGAAATTAGAACTAGTAAATATTAAGTAGCTGAAGGTGGGTCTTGGCACAATGGTTGGGTTTCTCCATTGTGACCTGGGTGAACAGGGTTCAAATCTTGGAAACAGCCTCTCTGTATGTGCAGGGGTAAGGCTGCGTACATCTTCCCCTCCCCAGACCCTGCATTTGTGAGAGCCTTGTGAAAAGGGCTGCCCTTTTTAAATATTAGGAGCTATATGTATTAAACTTCTTAAATTGTGACAAGACTGCATAAAGTTGTTGGGGAAGGTAAGCCCCCCACACCCTCCAACAAAGGCAGCCAGCCCAAGCCCCTTTGGCTCCACCTTGCATATACTGACATACTTGGTAAATAAAATGAAGCAAGCCTCACCAGTTTTTAGAAGGTTTTCTTAGGCTCACAAGCAAGGCTCATCTTGTAGAGGCACCTCACCCAAACCCAGTTGCACCTTACTTGTTTTTTCGCTATTTTTTAAGGAAACTCGATGTTGAACCAGTAATTACCATATTGTAGGTTGTATTATGATGTTTAGAGTGTAAGCAGATAGCTTTGCATATTCTTGTCAATGACACAATGCTCTAACTTTTTTTTTTGAAGAATCAAAGAGAAATTTCATTAAAAGAGAAGAAGTATTACATCCTGACATCAGTGGTTGTCTAGATGACACACCAGATACAATCTCAAAACTTCGTGTAGAAAAGGAATCTTCGTTACAACGCTGTAAGTCAAAGGTATTCCAGAAATTTTCCAGCAAACCGGCTTTGGAGACTTGATCAAAATCTTGGAGCCTGAGAACCCATTCTGAAATCAGATTGCTAACTGTAGCTACCAAGTATTCTATACTTTTTGACCTATTCTCAAAGACTCTTCTGTTTCTCTCCCTCCAGATGGACCAGCATACTACGAATGGAACACAACTCCAAATAATCCTGGCTTTCATACTGCCTCTGAGCTTGGCCACAAGGAGAAAATCTCTGCTGGAGACACAGGCTGGAAGACACTCATCCCAAATAGGAAGGAAAAGAACTTCCATATGAAGCTTGCTATGCAGCATGAGAAAAACAAATGGAGGACTGTTTCTTCCTCCTGATTGCATAAATAACACCAGCTGGCCAGATGCAATCCCCTAGATTTCAGGTGATCAGAGGWGAGGATGCTGTCATGTGCCACCAGCCAGGCGAAGGCTTCTACCCTTGGGGGCACTGGGTTACCCCATACTCCTTTTATCTGGTCTGAACCCATTTCTTCTCTTGTTAATGCCTTGTAGAACAACTTGACTGTGAATCTGCCTTCCTTACATTCTTTCCACCAGAGACCATCTTCTGAAGATCTAGAAATGCTGGTCCCTTGTAATTTTTCCAGAAGCATAACACACTCTTCCACTTCTTGGTCTAATAGAGGCCTTCTGAATTTCGGATTCCAGATCAATTGCTACCCTCTCCACAATGCTATAACTAATTAGCTAAAGGCCTTTGAAATTTTTTTATTTCTTTCGAAGGTTAGATTTGCACATTCTTGTATATTAATTTTTTCTTTTGTTATTTTTCAAAGTGGCACCTCACTTTGTTCATGCGAATGCCTCACCTTGCATATTGTACCTTGGGCTCTAGGAACACCATACACTTAAGCTGTGCTTCGCTCTTTTAAGACATTGGGCCCCAGACATTTCAAACACAAAGGTAGCCATATCTTTCAACAAACTCTTAATTATAAAATTATATCAATAAAAAAAGTTCACTTTTCACTTTCTCCAAATAAAAGAAAATCCTTCCCCAAGCAAAAATACTATAAACAATGAACAGCCTAAAGAGCAACTGCTTTCATGTGGTACTAAGGCGTATCAACATAACTTAAGAGTCTCTGATAAAAGACAGAGTTTTATTGGGGTTGTTGTGTCTATCCCTTAGAAAAAAGCTCATAATCCACTTAATTAACATAAACATAACAGATTTACCACCTAAAGTATTTTCTCAAGTAAGAAAGATAAATGCAAGATAGTCTCATAGAGTACACCAAAATGTGAGAATCATAAAGTCAGCATGAGAATTTCTTGATGCATCCTTTAGGGAACTAAACATTTGGGTTGTTGTCATCTTTAAGTAATTAAACGAGAAAGAAGAAAAGGAAACTTGGAAAGAATGGCATAATCTTCCAATAAAAGAGCTTTTGGTTTTATTGTCGTCTTGAGATCTAAATCATTCAAAGGCACACAACAAGAATTTCATGATAATAATGAAGGCTAGACATGGTAGAGGCTATGACTTCGTACTTCCTTCAGTTGAGAACACAACATGTTTATATATAGGTACTTTCTAGCATATAGCATACAGTGAAAAATTATATTAATATTAATACATATATAAAAATTTATGATCTGGAAAATCAATAATGTAACAGCTATCCAACTTTGATATTAAATATAAACAAGGGAAAATATAAAGAAAAGAAAAAGTTAATCTACTCATTGCCGTCTTATCAAGTGCAATATCTTCTCCTAATCAAATAGACGAATCCACTAAAATCTTAACCTCACATTTAACATTGACTACTAGACGAAGAATAAAGGAAGTTTACAATTAACCAAAATCTGAACTTCATAAAAAAGTAAACAAGCATCATCAAACTTTCATGGTGAAATCTGCCCAAGATAAAATCATTAAATCAGACTCACATGAACTTAGTTCCCATAGTAGCATGAAGCTTCTCCAGGGTATCCATGAAAAGCTGCCGATTAGCTGCAACATCCTGATACTTTGCAAGAGCTGAAGGATAAGGACTGAAGTTTGCTGGCGCTTCACTTGCGGACAATGGACTCTCATAGCATCTAGAGGAAGGGGAGACCACTGCCGACTCCCTCCTACCACCCACACCATCCTCTCGACTCTGCTCAACCATAACTTAAGTGCACTGACAGTTCCAAATATCCTTTGCAATGCTCGTTAGAGCTGCAATGACACACAGAAAGAAGCAACTCAATGTGTAATGACAAAAAATCAATGACACGATAAAATAAAATCTTATAAGACCAGAAGAAAACTAACAATCTGCACAGCCCCAGAAGAAACATAACCACCACTAACATGTAAAACCCAGATACAGTAAACAGAGAAAGAAAAACAATAGCAAATCCCAGTCAACACAACAAAACGACCATTCAGTCAGAAAGGAAAATTAACAGATAAACAATAACATGTATCCCTTATTTTGACTTTATACAACACGAATCAGAAAGAGAATAACCCCAACTAAATAGCTGGGAAAGACCCAGATAAGTCCCTGTAACCAGGTAGAGATTCAAAATCCAAGAAATCTCTATCATACGGAAAATCTGGCAAAACAGCCATTAATCACCCCTGGGGGTACTACTACACAAGAATGCCCACCAATCCTTCATACGGAATCCAGAGAGAGACCCCTCAGTCCTTTACTCCTTAGGCCATTAGGGGGACCTAAGGCCAAATAAAAAGATGACAGCACAAGAAAGTGAAGAATACACATAAGGGAGAAGGCTCTATTACTCTCCTTGCCCAACCCCTGACTGACATATAAAGACATGACATTAACTTGTAGCATTATTTTTTATTTGACAAGGTCCCTACTTCGGTTTCCTCCTGACACTGTTCAATTATAAAGTGTTTTAACTTTTAAAACAAACATTCAGAAAAAGATATCAAAACAGCTTATTTCTAATGGCTATTTGAAATGAACCCCCTCTGTCTCCCCATGTCTCCACAACTTCTTACCTTTACGACAAAACACAACTATGACCCCCCCCCCCCCCACCTGAGATTTCAAATCAAAATGTCCTTACTCTTATTCTACTTTCATGGAAGACAAAAAACCATGAAATCATTTCTTTGTTGTTCTATATATCAACCATTTTACCACTTGATATTATAAAAAATGAAAAATATAAGAAGAAGAAGAATAAACCCAAATAAGAAAATTTGAAGAAACCTTCCTTTTCTTTCTCTATGCAGAAGATTATAAATATAAATAAACAAATAAATGTTAAAAAAGATAAATAAATCGAACCCATCCCAAAAAAAAAATCAAAGAAAAGGAGAAAATAAAAAGATATGAGAAGAAAAATAAGCCCAAATTCTAAAATGAAAACAAGAACGTTCTTACCTTACTTTCTCTATACTGAAGATTATAAATGCAAATAAAAGAATAAATTCTTAAAAAAGACAAATAAATATAACCCACCTAAAAGAATATTCTTTCTTATTGATACAGAAGCAAATAAGACAAATATAAACTAATTACTAATCCTTTAAACCCATTAAGAAGATGAAGAATGACCAAGAACCCACCTAAAAAGAAAAAGGAAAATCAAATAAAAGTGGAAACAAAAAAAGATTATGATGATAAATAATTATTATTGAATATACAGGCAAATAGGGTGGATGGTGTGAGGTTAGCAAAAACGTATCTTACTAACTTCCGTTATAAACGGCACATCTCTCACATTAATGGATAAGAAAGGTAGAAGCGGTTGCTTAACAAATAACTCCAGCTGGTGGAGTTAATACTGCATTTAACAATGTAGACCAAGTCACCAATTGCCTTCCTACCCTACCAACCAACACATTACAAGATCAATTCCTTCTGTGTTGGCCATTTTTTAGGCTATTAATCCTCAACCAACCCACCCCATTTAGCAATATTTAATTTAATATATACTATTATTATGCACTAAGCCTTGCCCAATACCTATTAATATTGATATTATATTGTTGTATTGTTGCTATTTTTAGGGTAACTAAGTTGGCTTAGAAATAGAGGTGTTGGTAGGATCCATAAACGGTATTGTTATAGTACATTTGGCTGGCAGTTTGTGTACAATTTAATTTGACATTTCAGTGAAATATAGTGTTGGACTTTGGTGGAACCCATTACAAGATATTGTACTGTAGGCTTTTAGAATGTTTGAACATTGAATGGGACCCATTGATGACATGACAAGTAGAGCGTCCCCACGAATCAAGCATACAGACGTAATGGTAAGACAAAGAGAATGAAAATTTTCCTACATGAACAAAGTTTGCTAGTCAATGAATTTTTCTCAATTTCATCCACAGTCCAACAGTATGTTGGGAAAATTTTTAAACCTTTCCAATGTTTTTTTTAACAACACTTAAATTTCCTTGTAATTTGACCTTTGTAGAATTCATTTTCTTTTTTTTTTGGTAAAAAAAAAATGCAAATGCATCCCTTCTGTTAACTATCCTATAATGGATGTATCAAAACTATAACCATGCCCTTTTATTATGAATATACACAGTGATCATCATTATTCACTTTTTAGATTGTTTGATTAATAAGGGAGATTTAATTTTAACACCAACTTGGCTTTTGTTGTTTATTACATACGAGTAATGAAACCACTTAAATAATGTGAATCACTTTTATTCTTTATCAGGCTTTGAAAAGAAATATATATATATATATATATATGTGTGTGTATATATATAATGAATCACTTTTTTGAAGGTAATTCAATAATTTTTTTCATGGACCAAAATGAAGTTTTAAGAGAATTACATCAATGTTTTCCATCAAGACAACTAATAGGGTTTTGTTTGTATATTTATTGAAACATCAAAGGAGGTCTCTACGGAGGTCAAACATACAGGGGGTTTTTACCAAAAACAACAACATACAGGGGGTTTAAGTTTTTTTTTTTTGTAATAAATATAAATTTGGTGAATGTAAGAGATGGAAGTGGAATGTTAATCTTCTGCCTTCTTAGAACTTTATTCTACGTTATAAATATCACAGTTCTAATTTTTCCATATGAGCTTGAGTATGTAAGTTTAATGAATTTATCTAAATAGTCAAGTTAGTGGATCAGGTGAGAACAGCAAGGTGTATGTGAGGCCTTCTTGTTTGTAGCACAAAGAACCAATAGGTTTAATAGTATTAGTACCGAGTTTTTTTTTTTTCTTTTTTTCTTCTTTTTGATTCATAGGATAGAACAACTACACACTATTAAGGCCAATTCTACTACCACAATAACCACATAGGTGGTATTTGGTTCCACTGCCATTTCTCCATTGCATTTTCTCAGAATGCAATGGTCTTGTAAGTTATTTGGTTCCATTGCTATTTTTTGAAAAAATAGTGTCATGTTAAAGCCACATCAGAAACCATGCATTGCAACATTTAGGGAAAGCAAAAAAACCTTCAAAATGATGTTTTCCAAAATGGCCCAATTTTTTAAATTGATGCATTCTTTTTTCTCATTCTTTTTTATATTTATCTCTCTTTTATTTAATAATGAATTGTATCTGAAATTTAATGGAGTTTTAGCTAGATGTATTTCTCTCTTTTAATTAATATTGAACAAAATCATTGCTATTTGATCATCTTTAAAAGAAGGTCCAATTGTCACTATTTAAAAACCAGCTCGGAAATGGAATCACTTTAACCATCGGTTTTTGGGTTAGTGGTTCAACCATTCGGGTCAAACGGTTCGACCCGCAACATTAAATTTTTGAGAAATAAACCCTATAATTCTCATACTAGATTCATATTCTAATTTATAATTTTTGTTCTTGTCATTCTATTAAAATCAATGTTTAAAACTTAAAAGCCTATGCTGACACATTAATTGTATTATGAGATAGCGGACTAGGGAGAGAGATACGAGGTGAGAGGTGATAAAGAGAAAGTGTGTCAAAATAGTAGAATAGAATAGGGGATAGAGAGAGAGAGAGAGAGAGACGCTAATTTACCAAAAACCCGCAAAGTGCTGCCCGGGTCAAACAGTTTAACGGTTTGACTACCCAAGTCAACTGTTTTTAACAAAGTCATTGTTTTTTTCATAAAAGCAGTCCAACCCAAAATCGGAACCAGAGCTATGACCAGTTCCCAAGTCAAGCAATCCAATTGTCCAATCCAGTCTGGTTTTTAAAATAGTGGTTTTTTTGTCAGCTTTTCCTTTGGTTTATAAGTATTTTCTACCCAATCTCAAGATGTTTGAAACGGTCTCATCCGAAATATCCATTTCAAAACGTCAAATTTTTCTAAAAAAAAAAATTGCCACATAGGCTTTAAAAATTGATTTCTAAGATTATGAGCATCCCATATTTGGGCACTCCAATTATTCAAGACATAATTGATAAGAAGGCTCTGAATAACATCACAACTAAAATTAAGAAGAAAAGTTAGGGTTGGAAATTGAAAACTCCTTTTAAAGATGAAAGAGCTATCCTTATCAAATATGTTTTGAATGTGGCTCTTCTATTTACAAGGCGCCAACTAGCCAGTCGGTAAGGTCTCTCGATGGTTGTAGCTGAGAGACTTGGAATCAAATCCCACTTGCACCTAGGTTGGGGGTTTATGGGTATAGGAGATGGGCCACCCCTGTTGTGTAGCCCCATGGAGCCAAAAGAGAAAATGTAATTCATCTATTTCAAATGTTGTTCAAATGAACATTCCCTAAAAAATATTGATAAAATTCAAATTCAATTCTTTTGAGGCCAAAGAGAAGGCAGGGGAGCAATTGTAGGACAAGTTAGAAAAGGCTTTACAAATTAGTGACTTTTATTTTTGGGAAAATCATTAAGAACCCCTGAAGTTTATGGAAAATCTATAAGAAGTATTTTCCCCTTTTATGTTAATGCTTTTGTATTTGAATTTGAGGGAAAATCAGGTATTTTGTTGATTGTTTAAAATGAGATCAAAATAGGAGAAATTGAGCCCTCCATTGTTAACTTCTTAGTTCTTGCTAAATTGTGTAAGTGGACATAAATGGAATTCTTTCATGCATCTTAAATAACTACACAACATGTTTGATTTTTTTTTTTTTTTTGTTTTGATTACTCACAACATGTCTAAATAGACATCTATAAATCACAGAACTTAATGAATTGTAATTGTAATTGTATGGGGTATTTAGTTGGACAAATTTAACTACATACTCTAGACACTTGGAGCTACATGTTGATTTGTAGATGAGTTACAATTTACCTGAAATCTAAAACAAGTGGCAATAGATCTCTAAGGCTTTTAGACTTTTTTTTTACTTAAAATACCTCTCTCTTTGAATTTGGTCTCTCTCTCTCTCTCTCTCTCTTTCTATGCATACATACAAACATACAAACATACATACATACATACATACATATATATATATATATGAAGATATAAATTGTAAATTGAATATTATTTTTTATTTCATTCCATTCTCTCTCATTCAATATATTATTTTAAGGTTAACTTCCACTCTTTCTCATTGAATCATATGTTTAATGTATTTTAATTTCTCATCATTAAATTTCACTAATTAAATTCATTAATAACAATTCTAATAGTAAAAAAAATTGTATATTGAAAATCAACTTGGAAACAAAATCAGTTTTTAAGTATGATAAATAAGAAAAACTTTTATTAATGATAGAAAGGGAATACAAAATTTAAAACTACCTTAGCAATGAAACCACTTTCATGTTTGTTAAATGATGGAAATGGAATACAAAAATTATGAAAAGAGAAAATTCATGTCTATTCCATCACCCTACTAAACAAA